AATGGGGCATACGTAAGAATCCAATCATCTTGATATTTAGGAATCATTAGCTGCACATGAAGATGAAAACAGAATATTCGTCAAAACAAGGAATTTACCCATTTTAAGTCAACTTTAAAAGAAGAGACGTACGGTCATTTTGTCGGCAACGTAGACTGACTTATTTTTAGAAACTTCGCGTTCGTTCAGGTATTTGGCATAGGCAGCTTCGAGATTCCGACATTCCTTGATGGACATTGCCTTAAATCGCTTCTTTTTGCATTCCCATATAATGCCTGAACTATAAAAAAAGGAAGATTAAAGGACACACTGCGATGACATTTACTAACCTAATGATCGCAACATAAGCGAGTTCAGCCGGGACACGGTTGTCGACCAACGAGAGGCCGATTCCTTGAAACGACGCGGTCAGCTGCAAATCGCATCTTTCCAGCTCATACGCCTGCTGTGCAATTGTCGCCACCGCCAGATCCTCGGTGAACAACAGTACGCGTTGCCTTCCATCCAGAAATGACACCCAGTACACGTTCGTACCTCTACTCGATATGAAACTGGACGCGAAATCCTAGATGCCAAGTATGTGGGTCGTTTCTACGAACATCATCGCATGAATTGACAAACCTTCGACAAATTCTGCGACACATTTTCTTTCGTGTCACAACTCCAAACAAACTCCCTGTCGCTTAAAAGAGACTCCCAGTAGAAGTGGACGAACGTATCCGGCTTAAGCTCGTGTAGCGCCTTATCAAAGCCACTAAAACATTATAAGGCTTATAACCGAAAATACCAAAGAAAACATTCGTCCATACGCCTAGCGATGATTAATTGTGGTAATAACGAATATATACACGAAAAAGCCTTTCCGCGATAAATCACCTTTAACAACTGACAGACTGATTGTCCGATTCACCGCACACTCAGAAGTATGTTAAACTGACAAATTAAATCAAGTCGGATTTGCTACTACAGAAGACGACAGAGCTTATCTATTTTCAGCGGCTAGATGCCGTGTGTACAAAGAAATACAGTACAAAGATCAGTATAAAACTTACACGCCGTTGAAGAGGTTACTCAAACTGAATCTGGAACGCAGCTGATCTTCGAATTCATGACGGTTTTTCTACATCTGAATCAGATGAGATAGTACCACACTGCTTATCTGCAAATCTCTGTTCGTGCATAAATGCAACAGCGCACAGATCGTAGAACGCGTCGCTTCGTTCTGAACTAGCATTTGGCAAAGGAATCGTGCAAACGATGTGACGTATCAGCAAGAAGTTTTCGAGCGAACAGTTATATGGCGCCATACATTTTATAGACAAGCTATGTCACGCGTTAATAGGGAAGACTAGCAGATCTAGCGGCAGACTGGTGGAAATTCTACAGGGTAGAGAAGTCACGAGAAGAAAGAGCTCCAAAGAATACTGGCGCTGCGGGGTAACACAGGAGTGTGAAGAAGCCAATCTGGAGCACCAATTAGCCGAAGCCTTGTGACGTTCAGTGACGCATTCTCCACCTCTGACGGGATCAAATGGAAATAATTAGGAAAAGACAACAGGTGACGTGTACTTTCAGGCAAACAAAAGAGCTTCTTGGTGTCTAAGTGAACATGATATTATCGCGGGGGGAGGGGGAGGTTGACTCGAGTTCAATGAGTGCAGAAAAGTGCGAATTTCGACGTATAAGGAGGTCTTCTAAGCTACAGTACGATGGTGCCAGCGCAGCTTTCAAAATTGCTAGTCGATAAAACAGCCGACCAACTATTTAATACCTGTAACTGAGGTGATAGCTGCGGCACTGTCAGCATATTTCAGACTTGATACTCGTTCGTACAAATGTAGATTAATACTCCTCACGTTTGCCAATTAAAAAAAACTAACCAGATTGACGATTGAATGGTAATGCCCAAAGTGATTCTCATTGTGAAGAAAACCTGAGTACAGCCATTTGTTATTTTTGCTGAAATTCATACCCTTGAACCATTTCTATGCAAAAAACCGGCTTGTGATGTCCGCCACATTTTAGCTGAACACCTCTGGTTTGTGATGTCTGCCGTTTTCTCAGCTCTTCAACACCTTGTTATGGGTCATCGGAAAATACATTGTAGCATTAAGGAAAAACTCTCCTCTGAGTGTAAATCTGTCTCTATACTCATCATGCTCTTCTCCAGACCGACATCCGTCCATTTTCGGCTTTCGCATGAAAAGCTCGCCGTAAGAAGCAGAGTTTCTGGTCAGTCATTTTGGCCGGCAGAGCAAATCTGCTTTTAATAATCTACACACCTACTGAAGATATCTGTGCCCAGAAATAAATATAATCGCTAATCAAAATGTGATCATACCATTTACCTATCAAACACAGCTATCATTAGGCGTGAATGACAGCGATGTTGTATGTCATTCCATTGCAGTTCTTGGGGTAATGTTACAAGGGCGGTCGCCATGTCATATACAAGAAAAGAAATTGGCAAACCAAAGCAACCAGAATCGTCAACACTGCTCAGTGGTTCTAGGAGGATAAAAATTTGGTCAGGGCAGTATTATTAGATCAGGAAGCCTATTTGATTTAAGCGAGATCTCTCATCAACTGCCTGCCTTAGCGTTTCTACGATAATTCAGAAGAAAAGTTTTCAGGAAATTTACAGTAGTATATCATAACTGGAACATTCAATAGTCTGACCCAACTAAAATACACGGGCAATTTCTCCACTTTCATTCCACAAGGTGTGTTGAGGTCCACATCTGATCAAACAGAACACGAAACTTTCTTCCATTCCCATTTCTAGTATCCGGAAAGTTCACCGACTGGAAAATTCCCCGACGAGCAATTCGTCGAACGGAAAATTCACCATTTTACAATCGAGTGCCGATAATTTATTTATGATGATCATTAAACAGTATTATTTAGAAATAACGTATTTGAAAGATGATGTTAATGAGCAGAATAATTACCATAATATTACCTACTCACAAAAAAAATAAATTTTATCTAATGCATTTATTTTGAAATGGCATATTTAAAAGATTAGTTAATGAGCAGAATAATTACCATGCTTCATCCTTATATTGGGATTGCGAGTAGGGGTTACTGCAACAAGTAAAACAGGTTCAACTTGATGCCTTCCCTGAAACAGTTGCGGCCTAATTCGAACCTGTCAGTGCTATTCGCCAAGAATTTCCAAGGGCTAGACCTCGAGAATGTTCCTTGTGTTTCTCGCAGTGTATATTCCAAGGATTCAGGCAGAAAATCTTCAAAGAAGGTTCGAAACTGACGTTAGATTTTCTATGAGAATGCAACTGTTGTCTGCGTTGGTCTTTTCCAAACAGATGTGGTAGAAGCATTATAGCTTCTTAGCGGGCAGCGATGATAACATGTCTGAAGAAGCACAACGCTTGACTGACTGCTTTGAGGACTGCTGGATTGGACCCATTTGCTGTATGGGACATCGAATGCCCCGCTTCTCCCTAGATATGTGGAACTGTCACGAAGGAGTAAGACACCGTCCCCCGAAAACAAAAAATGCAATTGAAGGGTGGCATCGTAGATTCGAAATACAAATATATGTACAACACCCTAATATCTGGAAGTTTATTGAAGCGATTCAGCGTGAGCAGAGCATCAGAATATTGCAAACTGAACAATATGTGAGTGGCCATATAAATAGCCACGCGCATAACAAATAATAGGGATTGCGCTGAGACTTTTCAGAGTAGTTGCAAATTATGACAGAAGTAATGTTTCAGAGTTTTTGAGAGGGTGTGGCACATAATATAAATTACTAATTAGGTATTGCGCGTAAATAATCTTTCAGAAGTTTTATTTAAATATATTTATTCCAATGAAAGCTGTTTTATTCGAAATTTAGAGGTACATACATCATTATCCTTTTCAGGCAAATTAATTCAAAATCAGCAGATTTCAATTTTATAAAAATATTGACAATACTTTATGGTATGAAATAAATTAAGTTTTTTACGTTTCATGGTTTCTAATAAATAAATCATCGGCGATCAACTGTAGAGTCGGTGAATTCTCCGTTCGACGAACTGCTGGTCGGTGAATTTTCCGGTCGGTGAATTTCCAG